CTATCCACATATGATGGTAAGACCTCCTGGCATAATACACTATTTTCTATAGTTGCAGAAGTGAATGGATAGGATTCCCTAACTAAGGCCTATCATCTCACCGCTTCTGTGAGAGGAAATGCAGTGGATATCCTTCAGACTCTTTCCGTAAACTAAAGGTTAGACTTCAGATCTCTATACAGTGCATTGTAGCTGTACTTTTGGGGGAAACGTTTAAAAGACTACAGCAGGCTTCAATTAAAATCCTGTCAACAGAAGCCCACAGAAACACTGCAGAAGCTTGCCACAGATATTGAAAGGCTGTGTTAACTTGCCTTTTTGGGGTGCTCATCAAAAACTAGGGAAATCCTGTCACTGCAGTACTTCATCGATCGCATTCGGGATCCTGAAATACAGAAAGCTCTGCAAATGGCAGATGTAAAGGATTTAAAAAGCACTGTAGTGTGCACCATGAAATTTGAAGCTGCCCAGCAAGCAACTCGCAGAGACTGTCACCTAATTAGAGCTGCTCAAGTCCAGGAGCCAGTTGAACAACTGACTGCTTGTTTAGATGATTTAACGAGACATGTCAGTGCCTTGATATGGAATATAAGTGACAAGAAACCTACTCTAAAGTATTGGAACTCTGGTCCTGAAGGCCTCATACAAAGAAACTGCAGGACACCCTAGGGCACAGAAAATAAAACAGAGGATTTAACCAGACAAGTGAGTACTTTGAGATAGAATAGGAGTGACAGAAAACCAACCTTAAAGTGTTGAAGGCGACTACAAAGGAAACCCAAGGCATGGTAAATAAGAATCACTCCACAGCAACAATGCAGGAAACAGATTAGTGGACATCTCGCTGAGCAGAGTTTGAAAGATAATAAGAAGCTCCATTTCAAAGTGCTTCATATTTCTGCAGTGAGTGGCGGCACTAATGGACTCTTAAAATAGGGCATATCAATGGAGATCCTAGCAATATGACCATCGATACAGGAGCAAATGTTACCATCGTTCATAAAGATTTACCTCAAAACTTTAAAGGTAAACTCATTTGGATGCCATCCTGCATTATCCTTCAAACTGCATCTGGTGATAAATTCTAAATTGATGGGAAGTTAAACGTAAACATCACATTTGGAACTGCCGCCTACCATCACACTGCATATGTCGCAGATATCACATATTCTTGCATGCACAGATTGGACTTTCTAAGGAATTACAGTTTTTCCTTGGACTTTAAAAGTAATGAACTGCATTTAGCCTCAAAGGACATAACTATCCGTCATCAGAAGGGATACTCACCTGGAAACACTGACACCCTGTCTAGAAGACCCTGGCCAGAAAGCTGCCAATACTGTTCGAGGGTCAAAGTGAAATTTGAGCTGCTTATTCTGATCGTACAGCAAGTTACAATTTCAACATCAGCTGATCAAGACCTACGAAATGAGTCAGGAAAGACTAGTTGGCAGATAGCGGCATTAAATCACTAGTTGATTTAATGAAATCTTCAAACAAGAAACCTATCTGGCAGGACATTTCGATCTCTATTCTACAGCAAACAATATTGGGCTGTCTGAGATTCACTCCATAGTCGAAGCAGCAGTTTATATCGGAAGTTCGAATCGGGTGATGAAGAAGCTTTTCAATGGCAGTTGATACTTCCAAGATGCTGGATCCCAGATGTCCTTAAAGAATTACACAGTAGTCCAACAGGAGGCAACTTCGGAATAATGATAGAGTACGAGAGTGCTTTTACTGGAGTAATGCAAGGGATAACGCGCAAAAATAGTGCCAATCCTGTGATACCCATGCAGGTTGGAAAGCACTGAAGAAATGCACCCAAGGGAAGCTACAGCATTACAATGTAGAAGCGTCTTCAAATTCTAAGCCTAAAGTTGTGCATAATGACAGTTCGAACTGCTGATGACAACAAAGACTTCCTTGTTGTCATTGATTACTTCACTAAGTGGCCTGAAACGTATCCTATTCCTCATAAAGAGGCTGTCACGGTAGCAGAGGTAATAATACAGCATTGGATTTTCAGGTTTGGAGTACCTCTTCAGTTACATTCCAATCAAGGAAGAAATGTTACCTTTCTTGTAATTAAAGAACTCTGCAAGCTACTCAGTATTGACAAAACTCAAACGACACCTTTACATCTCCAGTCAGACGGTATGGTAGAGTGATTTAATTGAACCATCCTTAATAACCTCTCGTTGGTTTTCACAAATCAACAGAACTGGGACAATAAGTTACTTCTATTTTTACTGGTTTATCACAGTGCTGTTCACGAGGCTACCGACTATTCCCCATCTCAGATGCTCTTCAGTCATGACCTTTGTCTGCCTTGTGATCTCTGGTTTGTTCGCGCTCCGGATGTGGATGAAATCATTTACCTCTTAAATCACACTGAATCTCTGATGTAGTCAACAGAGAAATGTAATGAAGTATATGTGTGTGTGTGTGTAAGATTAAAAAACAAAATAGGTAAAATAAAATTATGAAAATGGTAAGTGCTTATAGTAACTTTCTATGGACTGCATCAGTTCTAGATTAACCCCTATCATATGCAGATATGTACATTACATAAGGTGGTGATATAAATGGAACTAAAATTCAGGCAACCATTAATGATTTTACAGCATTACCAAACAAAGGCATTGAAACCAGGTAACCCATTCTGAATTAAGATTTAATCTTGAACACATCACACTTTTGCTTCTGCTTCTCAGCCTAGGTTGACTGCTGCTTACAGCTTCTCTTCTTACTTCTAAGCTATCAGAAATGTAAATATTTTGAAACAGACACAATTATAGTGTCAATTGGTTTGTGGCTGCAAAATGTTTAACTACAGTAAAAGAAACATGAATTAAATCTGATACAACTGCATCTTATTGCATCTACCAAGTTTATTTTTTGTTATGGATCATCTGTGTGTGCTTCAAAATCATACTCTATGTATATATATGATATTTTAGCAATCAGGCACATGAGTTCCAGCCATTGTTATGGCTCAGCATCCAATGACAACACAGAAGGATTTCACTTTTTACTATTCCATATCTTTATTTCAATTTTCACTGCAGATCATTTTTATTTTAGATGAAATTCTCCAAATTACATATTCAATAGTGATTTAAACTAAGTACGATTAAATTTAAACTTTCTGTGTCATAACTATTCTAACAAAGGAAAGATGGGTTAAGCAGCAGAATTATCAATAACTCTATATTAAATATAAAGTATGAGGAGGGAGTACTGGTTCAGAAACAGAGGCTTGTTTTACCTCTTCATAATTGTTCCTTTTACCCTCGTCATGTAATATAATATAAACTTTAAAGTCTCCCACTTTATTTGTTATATAGAATTTTTATTTTTTCATATGATGGAGTGTGATTTTTTTTAACATAATGGAATGTTGTTGTGCAGTTCACTAACCACTCATGAAAATTTAATATATGAGTCTGTTTAAAGTGGATTTGCCCAAATAGCTGGATGTGTCTACTAGGAGAAAGCTGCGGGGTCTTCCAGTTTGTGTAAAATGTCAAAATTGTAAAATGTAGTAATAAAAGTAAAACCACAATTTCAATCATGCTTTTTAAATGATAAGTATTACTCTTATAAATGTGAACATTGGTGTAAATTTTAAGATTTATGATCATTCGTAATAATTTGTGAGTATATAAAGTATTTATAATTGTGATCTTGTATGCAAACATTTTTGGAAATCCTCCCCTGAAGTATCAAAATTATGATGTGAATGTTCCAGAAACAAGAACTTTTTACAGATTGGACTCAAATCACCATAGGACTTTAAAAAATTATTATTGAACTCAAAATGTTACATATTATAGTTTTATTGTTTAAAATCTAATATTATATTTCTCATATTTTTGGTACTCTAATGCTTTTTCTCTCAGAAAGGCTAAAGGCTTCTCTATCACTTCGCCTTTTTCTTTTGAAAGGGGGGTATGTGTAAGATAAAAAATATGAAAGCAAACTTCTAAATTTAGTTCAATATAACCTCTTATTTTCTATTTCATTTGGGAACTTCATTTATCTATCCTAAAAATAGCGCTGTAAGTCTAAACTGCGTCATTCAAATTAATCATGCGATCTTACGTAATCCTTAATGCATATGCCTCTTCACCAACCACCGAATAGTAAACCATAACTAAAAACTCCCTTCTTTCTATGAACTGATGTGTCACTTTCACTTAAGCTTTCCTCCTGGCCAGAAGTTTTGCGGCTACCGTCTTTGTTCAAGGAATATGTACTGATCTAACAAAAATGTTGAGTGCGTAAGACGCTCGTCCGTATCTGAACCAAATATTGGGAATCCTGATGTGCTTTCCTCAATAATAAAGTTATTTTGAATCCAGACATGTTTGCCTTGCCAAGTTTCTTTGCTACTCATCTATTATGCCACCATCAAGCTCCAAATCATTCATTTTATATCATGACATATATATATTTAACTGTATTATCATCATCCATGTTTAAACAAAGAATGAATTAAGTTCAAAACCAAAACCCAAATATGTATTGTAAGCTGCAGTATTTATTAAATTCACATCCTCTATGTTTAATGTAATTATAGAAGAGTTTAGGAAATAATAATTATACATATTATCACTGCATTTTTAATTAAAATGTTTATACAAATTGTAAATATTGTTATTAATGATAATAAATTCATTTTACATAGAGATGTCACATAATAAAAATTAACTGAAATGTATTAAATGTAACATAAGATAATGCATTATTAGAAAGAGATAATATGATACGTTGTTTTTCTGAGTTATTAGAATATTAGTAGGAATCCACAAACGATCAACTATTTTGTACACAAATAATAATGGTAATCAGAATTATGAATAGTCTGTTTATATGCAGTCATAATAAATACGAGTAATAGTATGGTTTTGAGTTATAATAAAATATGTTTTTAATGCATTTTAAACCTTATTTGTAATAAAACATTTTTTTTCCTCTCTTAATTTTGCCCCTAGGTGGAATGCACCGTAGTGAAATTGTGAGAAAACAACTGATTGATATATATGTGCCATTTTTGCCTTTGGAAAAGAAACACGTGAAGCAGTGTATTAAATCAGAACTCTTGAGTCGAAAGTTAAAAGTTGATGATGATTCTGTTAACATTATAGCAAATCAGCTGTTATATGAGCCTTCTAATATTGAGCTTTTCTCAACTTCTGGTTGTAAAAAAATAAGCCAAAAAATAGATATTTATATTTAAAATTACACTGTAATAAATCTATGATAAAATGTAAAAAGAGGTGTTGCCAGTGGCTGCATCCAGGCATGTAACGTATAGAGAAACATACCTGTGTATCTGATTTTGTAATTGCTAATTGTGTATTTTTAATCATAATTTTGTATTTAGCTGATGAACTCATTTTTAGTTAGTTATAAAACTGGTAATTGAATAATAGTAAGTCTTCCTCAAATAAGTTTTTACAAAAATAAGATATTTATTTTGATATTGTAATTGGTTACTCAAATGTGAAATGAGTTTAACAGAGGTGAGTTGTGCAGTGTGAATGATAGAATTTTGTAATCATAATTTGTAACTTTTTAAAATGTATATATAAAATCATTTTTTTTTTACCTTTTTCAATTAAAAAATGAATTTATCATAAATTATTTTTTCATAGTGAAAAGTATACAAGTGAAACTGTGAGCCGTAATTTTATTTTCTCAGTGTGTTTACTGGTTGTAAAATGTTTTTATAGGATTAATTATAAGTACTGGTTGCAAAATGTTTTTATAACGAATTTTTGAAACACTAAATTTTAATTTATACATCCATTTTAGTAATTAAAAACATGATTTCTTTTGCAAAGTTTTATTAAACTTGCTGATGAAATTTTTAATTACTTCCTATATTTCCCTTATTTCTTAATGTTTATAGAGGAGTGATGGTGATGCAAAAATTACATAATGATGTTACATTAATAAAAAAAACATTTACTAACTAGTTATTAGTAAAAGCATCCATTTATTGTTTGTGTTAATGGCTTAAGTATGTTTCAAGCATGCAAAATAAGTGTATATATTATGCTTTCTGTTTTTAAAAACAAATTCTTTAACTTTGTTATTAAAGTACAGTATGTTGAATAACGAAGCGAAATATATAGAGAAAATCAAATAACTTCTGTATAAATCTTTGTAAATATATATATATGTATGTATAAGTAAATTATTATATAATATATATGAAGTTTATGAAGCAGATTTTTATGTTTTTTAAAGCAATAGAGGTCTAGAAAGTACTAATTTATATACTAATTAAAATATGACTAAATTTTTTTAATAATTTCTGTTCCTTGGAGATGGTATATAAAAAGTTTTCTAATTATAAATTATAGGCTTTTTAATTTACTCATAATTACTTTTATTTAGAATTAATATTCTAACTACCGTAATTTCTAGAAGAAGAAAGGCCACATCAGCATGAATACCTCAATCAAGAAAAATGGCGGGGAAAAACCTAAAATTATGCAGAAACAATAAATTAAATTGCATGTGACATTGTCATGGACCTTATAGATGCAGTGTCCTGATATATGACTTATCAGTTAAGAAAAATTCATGAAATGAAATCATAACTCAAAAATAAATTATAGGTAAGAAATTTTGAAAATATACTTACGTCCACTAATATACTTATATTCACCTGCTAAAGGACAAATATGGACTCATATTTGTAATACTCATACTATATTATAAAAAATTTCACAACAACAAGATATTAAATTTGGGTAACATACAAAGCCATCAAAATCTGATTCTTCACTATCTGAATTAAACGGATTTAGCAAAATCTGATCTAAATAGTCCAAGTCTTCCAAATCGTCACATTCATCCTCTTGGTTTACTATCTCTTTATTTGAGGATATAATTTTAGCTACTTTGAACCCTGCTGTTATTGATGATGGTTTCACCGATTTCCATGAACTTCCTACCCACTTTGCAACTTCTTCATAAGATGCTCTATGCATTTTGCCACTTTTGTTATACGTATGCAGTCCTTCACTCATCCAACACTCCCACCACTTTTGGACTTCACCTTTGAAGGCTTTATTATCTGACAAATTTAATGGTTGTAAGATTTTTGTCAAAGCACCAGGAATTAATTATTCCTAAGATCGTTGACAGTTTTTGACATCTGGTTTGCACTGACTCAAGTAAATAAGAAAGCATGGAATCCATAATCAACAACCCTTTTGGTTGGAAAAAAGATTCCGTATGACACTGCCAACTTTTTGTAGCCACTTATTCATGATTGTTTCGCACATCCATCCATTCTTGTTTGTACAAATATTTACGTCATTAGGAAAATCTCCCTTCAGGATAGTTTTCCTTTTAAAAATGATCATCGTCTTTAGCTTGTCACCATTTGCAGCACAAGCTAACACACATGTAAATGACATTCTTTCATGCCCCTTTTTAAGCACAGGTACAGTTTTTGCACCAGTTTCATCAACAGTTCTGTTTGCAAGAGAATCAAAAGCTAACTGCGTTTGCATATTTATTATCTGTGATGGAAGAAGTTTTTGTATATCAATAATCTGTCACGTAATTTACAAAAGATGCTTTTTTATCCTGCCAGTCCATTCATAATTGTTGTCCGACTGTTGTTCTAGTTCACACAGAAATATTTTTTCTTTTCATAAATCTGCTATACCAGCAAGGTTTTCTTTTGAAACCATTTAAGTTCATTTGTTTCGCAATAATTTGCTTGTAAGTGAATTTTTACAGTCAAAACTGCCATTCCCTTTCCTTGTTGCTCCTTTATCCAGTTTTCAAGGTCGTCCTCTAGATTCAGCCACCTTACAGTACCACTTTTTTTGCTTGTTTCTGTTGTGGCATATTTTTAAGTTCTTTTTCAATTCTCCAATGTTGAATGCATCTGTCCTCCACTTCAAACTCTCAAGCTGCTGCTCTATTTCCAGTTTGATCAGCATGTGAAATTACATTAAGCTTAAAACCAGCAGTATAGCTTCTGTGCTGTTTAGGTGGCCATTTTCAAAAATTTCCCGTTCCCTTCTTAAAAACTATCCAAGAAAAATTGATTCATGTTGAAGAGGGAATACGTCAAAGTTCGTTATTGCAACAAAGGTGGAGTCGTGACCGCCTTTGAAAAAATTTGCTGGAGATTTACATTGGAAAAGGCAGGACAGGAGAGAGGACGGATCCTGGAAGATTCATCCAGTGGCAGAGAAGAGAGACTATTCAATGCTGATTTGGAAGAGGGAAGAATGTTATTTTTCCGAGATCCCGTTTAGGGTGAATAAGGCATGTAGGTCCGTTGAAGGGAAAGATTGTAAACAAAATTCACAGAAAGCAACTGAGTGGTCTTTTGTATGGGAACAGCACCAAACTATGTACAAAACAAGGTCATCCAAACTAGGTACAATGACATCAAAGGAAATATTTTTTTAAGTGCACATAAGAACCTCATGGGTAGAAATGCTGCACCTGCTTAATTTTTAAACACGTAAATGCTGTGGCGTTTCTTCCAGGAATTACGGTAAATAGCAGCTTTAAGCACTATTTTATTACTCAGTAGATTATCTCCAAGAAACTTTCAAAGTTTCCTTGCCAGTTTAAGGCTAAAATATCTTAAATAGAGAACAACACTTTTTACGACAACCCTCTTACATTCCATCACTGAATACAATTGCATTTCCAGCCTTTTTTTTTTACTTTTTTGCAGGCAAGTAAGTTAATTTTAATTTCCTGGAGTTTGACCTTTAAAAAAATATTCATTTATTGTTTAATTTAAAGGAGTTATGTCAGTTTTGATCTTCTTTTGATTTTGAATTACTTTTTAATGTTAAAAAATGAATACATTTGTTTTTACTTTTGAATTTTAGTTTGAAAATGAGAGTGCCGGGGAATATCTCTTCTAAAGTAAGCATCCTGTTTAATTGTATTCTTCGTGAGCAACTTAAATTTAAGGATTATTTACTAATTTGTTTATGAAGATTATTTTGTCTTAAATGGACTAATGTCTTTCTATTGATTGAGTATTGTTCATGACTTATGATTTGGCTCTAGCAAAAATATAACTTGATGCTTACTTGGAAGAAAGACAAACACTCTCACTTAATTTAGTTGTTGTTAATTGATAGTAGATTGGTTTGTTCTCCTTCATAAGTCGATTAATCTGCAATCAATGACAATAGCTAACTTTCAATACTACTTAAATTTTTTACTTTTGATTTTGGTATTTTTTCCATAGAAGTATAAGAAAATTACAAAATTAAATTAGCTAAAGAACATAAAATTTAGAATATCTAAATTATTCATATTTTACATCAGAATCATATTATAAAAAGTTTGAAAAACTACGTCTAGCATTATAAAGTAAATTTAAGTGAGTTTGAAGTTGGAAACTATATATTGAAAAGTTACTCTAACGATACATGTTACATAAATTATTCTTTGATACTCCAATTGCAAAAGTAGGAAAAATAATTTCTTTATAACTACTTTACTTTACTTTTACATATTTTGAGATATATTGCATTTACCATATGCCCTTCCCCTAGCTTTTTAGCAACAAGTTCTGAACATATTTAAAGTATTCACATAATTTTCCCTTTCCTCTGTGCATTTAGAGAATGAGCATTCCTAAATTTTAAAGTGGATTCATCCACATAGTTGTTGTTTTAATCTTGCTAATAAAAACAAACCCTACAAAGATAAGGTCGAAACTTTCCCTTTAAACTGTTGAACTTTTTGCTAGCCTTATGCAAAAACCTACCCATCACGGTAAAGTAAACATGAACTGATATTCAGTCTACTATTTTGCTGATTTGGCTGCACACTCATCTTCCCTATATGTTTATGAATGATCAGACCTAAGGAATAGGATAGATTACAATAAGAAAAGGCGAGGTTCAAGTTACAGAGAAGTAAAAATTAAGCTATTTTATAAGATATTGTAATAATTATATTACTGTGCATTCAAATTTGGAATGTAGGTTTCTTTTAAAGAAATAATATTGTGATAATATCTGTTATTTATCCATGACTACTTTTTATTTATTATGTTCTTTCTGTAACTGCATCCTTTAGAAATTAAACTGTTAGGATAATTTTCCCATCTCGATTTTCGAATGATGAAATTGATTAAAAAAAGATACGCGAGGATATTTTTTTTTTTTTTTTTTCTTACAAATGGCGGGCACTTGTCTGTAATGGCATTGGCCACTACTAAGCCCAGAAGCGGTGACCATTTTATTATGGAGGCACTTAATAGGCGGCCACTGTCACCTCCTATTAAGGGACAGACAATTTTACATCCATGCTTCTCCGGGATTCAAACCCGGGCCCTTTGGTATCACAGTCAGGCTCCCCTAACCACTATACCGTTTGGGCGGCATATATGAGGAAATATGGTATATCATTTGTGTATGTACTAGAGAAGCATTTTTAATTTCCTTGCAAGGTTTTCCATTTGGATTCGTTATTCAGCTAACTACCCTTATCATTTAACACAGGGTTTCTTAAACTGTGGGTCGCGGGTTCCAGGACCTGCAGCTGGGGGTCGCCAAAAATATTAGAAGTTTTCATATTCTTTAACTTATTATAATAAGCTTACAATTACCAAATATTTTTACACGATGTATCTGAAAATAGATAAAGATAAGACAATACAGACAAAGAAAAAATGAAACATTTCGATGCATTCTTTTTATAATATAAACTTTCATTTTCCTTGCTTTGCACATAACACTGTCATTTCGTCTGTTACTTATTTAAAATTTTCACATTGTTCTATGTCTTAAAATTAGAAATTAAATGACCTAAAACTGCAATAGTATATTACAGTACAAGTGAAAAAAAATTGACAGTTTCACTCACACGTGTGTCGGACTTTTGCAATACTTATGGGGGTCCCATCCAATATAAAATAAGTAACATATAATTCACATTTTATTAAACATTTACTTTTGAAAAATTAGC